TGAGGAGAGGAGAGGAGAGGAGAGGAGAGGAGAGGAGAGGAGAGGAGAGGAGAGGAGAGGAGAGGAGAGGAGAGATGATCCCATGCCCCCAATAGATTCTCCATTTGATGATTTGAATGAGAAAGACCCCCATAGACTCAGATACTTGAATGTTTGGTCCCAGCTGGTGGCCCTGTTTGGGTAGATGTATGAGGTGTGATCTTGACAAAGGAAAGTACGTTGCTGAGGGCAGGCTTTGAGAGCTTTACACCATTATGAAGCTGAAATTGCTCTGTTTCTTGCTTGCTGTTCCAGACGTGAGCTTTCAGCTATTCCTGCCACTTGCTGTCATGCTTCCCTGGACACGGTGGTAAAGGACTCTCAGCTATCTGGAACCATAAGCCCGACTAAAACTCTTTCTTTAGTAAGTTTCTTCAGTAAGTTGTATTTTATCATAGCAATAGAAAAGCAACTATGACAAAACTGTTCAGCCCAGGAATTGCTTTCTCTGGGAGAGAATGGTCATGATCAGGTCACAGTGTAGTGGAGAGAGACAGCTCATCCGTATCTAACATTTATACCCATTAAACACACGTTCCAGGTGATTTTTCAATAGCTTATTTCAAAGAGCTTCTGTCTTGCCAAGTACAAAGCCAAAATAAGCATGGCCAAGAAGGCTGACTACAGGTAAGGAGAACACAGGAGGAACCTTCTTCAAACAAAGGAAGCCTGGGGGTTTTATTAAGAGAGCCTACATATATCCACATAGGAAAAAACTTTAGGGGTAAGCACATTCCAGAGCATGCTCAGCCCAAGAAGTCAGTATTGCAAACAGATTTGGGGACATGGTTAGCTCAAGGTCACAGAGTACATGTTCAAAAGGTAAAAACAGCAGACTGTCATAAACACAGTGACATGAACTCCTCTGGGCATGCCCCCTCCCCATGTGTGTGTGTATGTGTGTGTATGTGTGTGTGTGTGTGTGTGCATGTGTGTGTTCATTTGGGTGCCCCCTCCCCATGTGTGTGTGTGTGTGTGTGTGCATGTGTGTGTTCATTTGGGTGCACATGTGTGGGCAACACATTTGAAGCCAAAAGATAACCTCAGATGTTGTTCCTCGGGTACTAGCCACCTTTATTTTGAAGCAAAGTCTATCAGTGGCTTGGAATTCACCAAGTAGGGTAGACTGGCAAAGTCACGAAGGCCCAGGGATCCCTCCTCCAGTCTCCAGTTCCTGATGTTCACATACAAATGTAAGCCATCACTCCTGAATTCTTTTCTAATGAAGTTCTGAGAACCCAACTCAAGCCCTCCAGCACTTTACCTGCCAACCATCTCCTCAGCCTCAATTTCTTCAGTAAGTTTTAACTGGAGAAAAGCAAAGGCTGCTTTAACAGTGTGTTGTCTGGGACTTTCCCCCTGAAGGTGCCTGCCTTGGCTTAGCAGCTAAC